ATTCCCTCACATGTGTTTGCACACAAACCTTTCATCTCGAGACCAAGAGAGGAATGTCCCAACAAGCACGCCTGCATGGGCATTAATGACCGCTCTCTAGTGGCTTCTTCCACTTTGAGCCTCTGTTGAATGAAGTAGTCAGCAGACAAGAGCCATCGCGAATACCACCTGAAACTGGGTCAGGCTTGTTCAGTGGTGAAGCTGAAAGTGGGCCAAACTAAAAAGGTTAACATAAGGACTCTTTATTTTGTAAGATATGTAGATTTAGCCATCCCAGTTTGTTTATTGGATAGTCCTTTTTGTTTTCTAGAAGAAAGCCAAGTCTAAAGTCTTCATATTACTGAATTATTCTCAATAAAATGAAGAATAAATGCTTTCAACACATGCAATAAAAATTCAATTAAATTCAATTGTAAGCACACAACATTCAGGCAACCACAGTGAACACAGAAACACATGGAGCTTTTTCTGCAAATAAATAATGAATATTAAACAAAAGAAGTATATTGTAAAAATACAAAACACATTGCACCAGTATAAGAAGTGAAATCACCTGTAGAATAATAGAATATAATAGTAGAATACAATTGAGACTGTAAGAATAAACACTGTTATTTATGGAATATGGTTCATTCATGTGGTGTCACATGTGGTGACACATCAGAAATATAATTTTCCGTGTTTTAAAATGCAAATGAACGCCTCCTCAAGTCGTAACAACAATTTGAAAAAACTGTCCTCCTAGCCGGAGATCAGGGTTCAAGTCCGACCTGTGGCTCCTTTCCAGCTTGTCATTCCCCACTCTCTCTCCCGATTTCCTACTCGATCCACTGTCCTGTCTAAAATGAAGACAAAATCCCCAAAACAAACAAAAAAAAGAGCTGGAACAAACAAATGTTTTCATAATGAATCGATCTGTTGATGACTTTATCTCCAAATTGTGACAAAAGTTGTGAATTAACTGTTTAAAAGTTCTTCAAGCACACCATGATGTCGTTCAGTTTCTACTGAATCTAAATGTATTTTGTTAAATATCACAGAGGATTAAGAGAAGCTGCAAATCTTCACAGCTGAGGAGAAGAAAAGCTTGTTTAGTGTTTTGTAGTTACTCTACATAGATTATTGTCGAAGTAAATTTAGTTTATACGTGGCCAGGTCACATGATGATACCCAACACTGCTCAAACACTGATCAAAGCAGGTTTGTATTCACTTCCTGCTCCTTCATGTGTTCCCCGCTAAACAAGGTATCCATTGCAATCACTTCACATTTACACCCAAAGCAAGATGACAGGGCCATGATAGGTCCCCATAGTGCGGCAACAGATTTAGCCTTGTCTGAGCAGCATGCTAATGCCTCGGCTGACAGCTCTGACTGGCCATCAAGCTCACCTAATTTATCATTATTTTTCTTTTTTTGAAACACTGGCTCTCATCGCTCTGCCACCAGTTGATGAGGGGTTTCTACTTGTTTGTGCCCTGAGGTGTAAGTAAGTGGCCCTAGTAGTGTTCTGAGAGATCACTTCTTGAGATTCATGAAGTATTTGTTTGTTTCAAAGGTCAATATTTGTTCTCAATAGACTCAAGTTAAGTCGTCTTTCTTTTGGCAAATGGTTCAAACACAAGCAGAAGCAGGAAGTACAGGAGTACAGTAGTAGTTGTAGTGATCAAGGAAGTTTAGCCGATGGTTGGCCTGCGGGTTTAAGACGCTAACCTGGTTTACAAAAAAGAATAGAACAAAAAAAACGACGCATTGTCTTTACACATGTACAACAAGATCGATGAATGTCTTTAACTTAAAGAGCACAATATACATGCAACCACAGTAACATAAAAATACACAAACAGGTAACTTCGTAAGTTGCACGGTTAATAATGAATATTGCACGGTAAAAAAATGGACTTAGACCGCAAGTATACATTCCATTTGTAGAAGACATATTGACCCAGTAAAAAAATAAAATACTTCCCTGGTAGATATGTGATTATTGCAGAGTAATAAGGGGGGTTGTAAATGGGGATAATACACGAGGCAATGTGTGTATGACTGGTGGTGGTGTGCGGTTTGTGCATATTGGAGTTCACTGTGGATTAGGCTCTGGGGTAGAAATGTCTTTAGTTTTGTTTGAGTCACAATGGATCTGTAGCGTCTGCTGGTGGGCAGAAGGTCAAACAGTTGAAAACCAGGGTCCTTGGCTCTTGGTTCTGGCTCAAAATTTGACCTTCAACTGTTTTAGCTTTCTCTTAAGCAATTGCAATTTTCCAATATGCAGCCACATGTCCGATCTGTCCTTGGGCAAGACATTTAACCCAAAGTTGCTCCCGCTGCGTCATCAGCAGCGTATGAATGTGTATGAATGGGATTAGTTACTTCTGATGGACACTTTACAACCTCTACCATCAGTGTGTGAATGTGGAGGTGTGACCTGAGGTGTGAAAGCTTTTTGGAGTAGTCAGAAGACCAGAAAAGCGCTTTACAAGCTCAAGTCCATTTACCATTCAATGGTTTTATTGAATCAGAATCAGAATCGGCTTTATTGGCCATGTATGTTTACACACATAAGGAATTTGTCTTCAGTAACTGTGCTCGCAATGTACAAAAAGTATAGCATTAAATATAAACATAATATAAGCAAAAAAAAAGACTAAACACGGCTAAATAGTGCAGTAGTGATTAGTGCAAAAAATGCCGAAATGAACATGATAATAAATATGTCATTGTGTAACAGATGATTCGTTTACATGAGGTAGAGTTTTTACAGTCTTTACATTAAGCAATGTGCATAGATTGATGAGGAGGACAATATCACTGTATTTACATGATTAAGTTATTGAATTTAGAAATTTGTGTCTTTTGTCTTTGTTTTTTTTTTATGTGCTGCAGAACAGGAATCTGCTGTAAACCAGTATTAACTGAGTCAGGCCAGTTTAACTGTAACTTTTGTAATGTTACTTTTCATCTTTTCCTTTATAATAAATAAATGAAAATGGAAAATGGTGTTGAATATTTAGAAGCAATTATGCCAAACCTAAACAGCTTCCTGAATGTTCCCTCTGCACTATATGGAAAAAAGGTCCTAAAAACAGTGAGAACGTGATGAGCTATTTGAATTGTAAGTATTACCTGATATTATGATAGTGAAGTGTCACAAACATTTACATCTTACATAAACAAAAAGAAATTGACACTTTTTTTTTTTGCTTTTCGGGCTGAAACATACACCTCTGCTTTGTTATGTAATGTGTTATAACCTTTAGGTGCACGGCTAAAAAAAGGCATGGTCAAGTTATGCACAACATGACTGGACTCAGCAGGGGTCTATGCTGACAGTCCAGACTGATGTGCGGATCAGATGTACTGGATCCCCATGGGTGCCAGCCAGTACTTACATCATGAAACGGATCACATCTTGGCCCCATGTGACCGACACACACTAAATACTACGTCTTTGACACCAGTGGAATACAATGATACATGTTAAACAAAAATGTTTAATCAATGATAAAATATGAAATCCCAAAATCAATTTTGGAACAATATTAATGATTCCACCATGTGATGTGTGTTACACAACAAAGAACAACCCCAGTGGACTCCCTCAGCAAGGTGTACTATAACGGTTTTCAAAATGTACAATACTGTCATGATTTGGTCTTATTTAGTTTTGTATTTCAGCCTTTAGGTTTCCATGTTTTAATTTCTCCTGTTTATCCTAGTGTTGCTTGTTTCCCTTGTGTGTTTTTGTCCTAATGTTTCATAGTTTAGTCTTTAGTGTTTTGTGTGTTATTTTTGTAACTTCGTACCCTATTGTTTCTTTATGTTCTAGTGTGTTTGTGTTACTTTCTTGAGTTCTGTGTGTCTTCAGTGTTTCAGGACTAGTTTGTAGATCTCCTCAGTGTTTCTTGTATTTTATTCCTGCCTCTGTGTGTTTCCCAGTGTGATTGCCCTGATTGTCCTCACCTGTGTCTGATTACCCTATGTCTATTTAGTCTCTGTGTTTCTTCCCCTCTGTGTCAGTTCATCGTCGTTTGTCGGTGTTGTAAGTCGTTTCCCATGTCCTATGCCAGACCTCTGCTTACCTGTGTCTTAAGTATTTTTCCTGTGCTTTTTGACTTCTAGTTTTGGGCTTTTAAGTACGTTTTTGTTTGCCTTTGGCCTTTTTGTTTATTAAATATATTTAGTTAATTCTGCACGTGGGTCCAGTTCCTTGTTTTCCCCATGAACGTGACAAATACTTCCCTAACTTTTGGTTTTAATAAAGCTGCAACCTTCGTTGTTGAAAATTGAAGCCAACGCAGAAGTGCAAAATTGCAGTTCGAGTGTCCGCTTGATGCTGGCTCCAAGAGCCCCTGAAGTTACATACACACCCCAATCAAAAAAGTATTTTTTCTTTCACAGCCTGGTACAGAAAATACAAATTGGTCTGATTAGTTATTGTCATCATGGGCACACACTGTACTTGAGGGGAATTTTTGTTGGCATGCGATTTGATGCCGTAGTTAGGCGCATAGCTGACATGATTGACAGGTGGGCCCTATGTAACATTTTGTCCTGAGGCTTAAAATGTGCCTCAGCTCCAGCTCTCAGCCTGTCGTTAGGTTTACTGAAAGTTAGGCTGAGACAGCATTTCCGGCATGGCGGCTACTGCTGAGCCTCTGGAGTCCCCTGCTGTGACAGACATCACTCAGGCTCCGTCCATTAAAATTGACAATCTATGGTTTAATACAGTCTCAGTCCATCCATCTTAGTCCATTGAGCATACACCTGGAAACAGTCACAATAAACTTCAGCTTAAACAGGCGGTAACCTTGAGTAGAACCATACTCGTTGATGAACATCCATCTGCCACAAACGGGCTGAGAAAGGGAGATAGAGGGAGAGGCAGAAACAGACATACAGAAAGACAGGGAGAGGTAAACACACTAATAAATATAACATCAGATAAAACCGATATGAGTCTAGTATGAACATCATGTCTAATGTTTCGTCTCTCTATTTAGGTTCCAACGATGTGTCCCCCTCAAAGAAGCCTCGCAGCAGAGGCCTCCTCCACAGCCTCTTCTGCTGTCTTTGCCACCAAGAATCAGAACCTCCTCCAGTAAAAAGCAACGCTCCCCTATTGGTAGAAGAAAATGGGAGTCTGTCAAAAGTAAGTCTTTCCCTCAACACCTCACTCTTCCTTGTGATATCAGCTTACTCTCACCTTTCCCCTTAATTGCCTTTGAGCAGCATGTGGTCAGCATTGCGTAAAAACACATGTATTCTTGGCTCAAAGCTTTTCGTGTTTACAAGAGCATTTCTTATGTGCTTGGAGGTAATTGACCCCCAGTGTTGAAAAGTACTTCGTGTTCAGACATCAATCAGGATGATTGGGTGTAAGAAGAGGGGCGGAAATGTTAGAGAAGAAGGCGTCTGACTGGAAATTCACTGCGTTGCAAAAATCCAATCACAGCTACTGTAGATGTGCCAGTGAAAGGCAGATTACACTAGTTGGTGTGGGAAGAGGCCCCATGGCTTACAGCAGAAAACTATAAAACAACTTTGGTATCAGGAGGGATTTAGAGCATGTCGTCCATTACTTTTTCCTTGATTTATAAGGGTTAGATACAATGTTACAGAGGGGTTAATTGATAGAGATTTTTTGAGTAAAGCTTTGTCAAATGTAAATCATGAATGGTCCAGATGTATACCATCACATATTGATGGTCTATCAGAGATTGGCCACTACTCCTTTACATAACATTTTGGACAATTGACAATTCTGTCTAAGGTTTCACTGAGTAGATATTCTTGGAAAACAACATGACTTATGAGAGTTATGGTCTTAAGATCAGGTGGTCAAGGCGTTCTCAGGTGTCAGTTTCAGATTAATGCCTTCGTTCAGCCTTTTATAGAGATTTGATATTCCAGAAGTTATTTGTCACGGCTCTCCAAGGCCCCAAAAATAAGTTGCTTGGTCTCTGGCAAAGGAAGGAGGGGTTGAGTCAAGCGCTAGGCTCAGGTTTGGTTGTGACAACCTGTCATTTCGACTTGCATGCTGCTCCTGTTGCTGGTACTCTCTTGGGCACGCTGTAGTCTCAGTGACTCCCCCCCACCAGCTGAATATCCCCTCTGAATGGACCCTACAGTCACCTGCCTGTCATTTGCACTTGGACTCTGCAGGATCCAGACCTAAGGCATGGAGTAAAAACTTAGCGCAAACAAATCCTGATTGAGAAATAACCTGCTCTGCATTTGGAAAACTCTGAGAAGAGAGAAGTCTCTGGGGAAGAGGAGCCTTCTTCTGTAGCCATGATTGATGAACAATGCCAGGTTCCCAAAGTAACAGAAGCCGAAGATTTAACCAGTCCTTCTAAGGGAAGTGACAAACTGAGCATGAAGGTCAATGTGGAATATACCGAGCAGACTGATAACAGCAGAGAAATGGACTCTTCTATCCTTTGTGTGGAGAATTGTAACATGAATAGAGATGAGAATGAAAACTTCCCATTTTGCAACGGACACTCTGAGAGTTTTGAGCAATACTCCGAAAGCGTGGGATCTTTCGAATCCGACCAGACCGTTGATAAGTGTGACACTTCGGGGTTAAGCCAACCATTCAATGAATGTTTTCAACACTGTGAGTGTTTTAAACCTTGCAAGTCCTCTGAGCACTGTGCTAATCATAGCTTAGCTTCTGAATGTAGTCCTTGCTGTGAACATTGTGCAGAACACCTCCAGTTATGTCAGCAATGCAAGCCCTCTGATCAACAGTTTGAGTCTTTTGACTCTGAGCCAGATCCTTCGGGTTTAAACTGTGATAGTTTTGAGCAGTTTGAAATGTCTGATTTGGAACCTGAATGTCCAGAAGACTTTGAGTTACTGCAACAGTACGAGTTATCCGATCAGCAGTACGAGTGCTCTGACTCTGAGCCGGACACATCAACGGAGGACTCCGAGCAATGTGAATCAACCAACATCTCTGACTCAGTGGACTCATTGGACTGTAGCACTGATCTTTTTGAATGTGACGACACTCAGAATCAAAATGATTGCAATGAAAATAATAATGGCGATTACGCAGAGAGCTATCCAACTGAACAAGAGGACGAGCAAAATGAAACACAACATATCGATGGAGAGTCCGGCGTTTATTTTGATGACGATGAAGAGGGTACCTTTGAGGATGAATGCACTGAAGACTTCCCTACAGATCCAAATGAAATGGTTGAAACTGAGTACCCCGAAACAAGCCCAGAGTATGATCCAGCTGAACAATGTGCGACTTCCGAGCAGTGCGACTCTAAGCCCTCAGAGTTCTGCGGTGAGGAAGACGGCTCCTCAGATTGCTCTTCTTTTGAAACCAAGTCTTTTAATACTTGTCCTGAGGGCTGTATTCCTTCAGATGGCTGCTCCGACTCATCAGGGGAATCTGAAAAAGGAGCTCAGGAGGATTCAGGTGATGAGCAGCTGCAGTGGGAATCTTTCGAAGATGATGAATACATAGAGCAAAGCAATATTAACAAAAGCAACGAGGACAAAAAGAAAACATCCGCTGTTAATATGGTTATTGACGATTACTTCGATCTGTTTGACAAAGGGGACGATTATGGAAACGCTTTCACACAAAAGCAACATTACATCTCCTGCTTTGACGGGGGAGATATCCATGACCGCTTATTTCTTGAAACAGTTCAATCTGAGGCAAAGAGACTTGCTAAAAATGAACACGGATATAAAGAAGACAATGAAGAAATTCACATAAACAATACAGTTACATGTTTTGATGTTCCTGAAGAAGCATGTGAAGAAACTCATGAGGAAGACGAAGGTCCATCAGATGATAACTCAGTTGGATCGTGTGAGTCAGAGAAACAACCTGAGGACTGGATTGAAGAACCGGAATCAGAATTCGAGGCCAATTTGACTTATGTAGAAAAAAGAAGTGAGGAAGCAGAGGAAGATGAGGAGGCTTTGTGTGAAGAATCTTTGGGTGAAGAAGCTTGTGCGTTTGACGGCCGTGTTTCTGAAAACTCAAACGAAGAGGAATCTGAGGGTGAGAGTATGTGTGCTCCGTGTGCAGATGACATTTCTGTTGAAGGCGATGCTTATGAAGATCAAAATTCAGAATCGTCTGACCTGTCTGCCGTTGATCACTTGCCATTAACTGTAGCTGAAAACCAAGAGGATGAGAAAGACGAGATTGAGCCAGAGGGCAAAGTATTTATTGAATGTTCGGAAATGGAGTCATATTGGTCGCTTTTAGATCATGAGGAGGATGAAGAGATTTACAAGCCAGGTGTTGAGGACTACTATCTTTATCAGATTGAAAGCATTCAGTCGTGTGTAAAACAGTCCAAGAACGGGTTAATTATTCATGAAAAATCTAAAAGGGATCCTGAATTAGTGAGTTTAGCGTACTACTCTGTAGTAGATAGAACGACTGGTGAAGAGGAATCAGAAGAAGAACCTGAATTTAGAGACATAAAGCTTCCTTCAGGTATTATTCACAGTGTTGCAAAACATGAGGAAAGGGATGCACAGGTACAGGTCAGAAGGACTGAGGAAAACAAGGCCTCCGAACAAAGCGAGGATTCAGAAGAGGAGCAGAGCGACGATGAATCCTGTGAGGCCTGTGAATGCGAGTACTGCATTCCACCAACAGAGCAGGTATTATGAGTCTTTGGACCCAGCTGAGAAGCATTTAAACAAATTAAACTGAGCTCTCAGAGCCGTTGCAGAAATGTTAATTTATCTCAGGATAGAGGCGGTAATATTGGTTTATTTCTATATTTATCAAACAGCTTTACTACCAACTGTGGTGCTGAAGACGCTGAAATAGATCTCAGCTTGGCATATTGTCTGTGTCAAACTCCAGATCTTTCATTAACCTCACGTGGGCAGCTCAGTCTACACGGACAGACACATGCTAAAGTGTTACTTGCTGACTCTTCAGTCGAGCCAACTTGTTTTTAGCATCAGAATCACATTAACGAACGCCGATCTTTAACCACTCGCTGAAGGATGAAACACAGAATGGTGATACTTACACGCTCAGTCAACATGGCAGCAGCTGTAGCATCCAAAGCTTCCTGTAAGCCCTCAACAAGACACCACAGCACAATGTAGACTCTTGCGTGACAAGAAACACACACAATTAGCAGTAAGTTGTTCGTGACAAAGTGAGATGGTAATTTACTTACGTTTACAAAGATTACTTGCATTATAGTGCTACATTCACAGCTGATATTGCAACTGCAACCTGCACTGAAAAGCCAGGGGAGCTTTTGATAAGGGTTAACCTTTAAGATAAAAGAGCTTTAAGTCTCAATTCTACGTTTGTCCTCAGGTTCCAGCAAAACCGCTGCTCCCACGGGTGAAATCCAATGACGCAGGGAAGATCTGTGTGGTGATTGATTTGGATGAAACACTAGTGCATAGTTCATTTAAGGTAAGTTGGCCTGTGTGACCTACTTTCTTGTAGTCTTATATAAAATACATTCTATACTGTGGTCATTGGAAGAAACATCGTTATATTTAGAAAAAATAAATTCCTCAAATTAAAGTGTTTAAGAGAGCTGATCAAACTGTCAGCGTATCTGAAAGAGAAGTAAATGAATGGTTTTCCTCTTATCAGAGTGCTGCGTTACTTTAAGTCATTCAGTATCCCGGTGCAGACTGGTGTGGGTGAGGATTAGAGTCATGTTAAAAGTTCTGCCTTGATGAGGTTTGAACAGTTTTCCACTATTGTTAAATTTAACCGCTGAGGCATAAATATGTTTCTCCCAGAAAACGTATTTATTTCCATATTTGCTGATGTTTATTTTAAATGGAAAGACTGTGACTTTATTATTTAGGCAACCCGAGTGTATTGTTGTGTGCATGAGATGGCAGCATTGCTGGTTTCCAAAGTAAGGGTTAGTTGACATATAATGTACATTTTTGCAAAGAAAATGGCACATTCCTTATTTCTTGGCATGAAGCAATAACTCCCCAGAGAGTTGTAGTCACGTAAAGAAAGTATTAAGAAAGTACACAGCAAGAGCTCAAAACTGTTTGTGTTTGCTCAAAACACATTTGTGTGTTTGTCCAATTCAAAAAAAACTTCTTGTTACACTTATTAGAAACCACATTTACCTGACAAGTCCTTAAAGTCATCCTACATCAAGATTTAACAGGGGGGCGCCCCATGTACAGAGGCTGTAGTCCTTATCACAGTATTTGTGGGTTCAAATCTGACCTCGGCCCTTTGCTGCATGTCATACCCCCCTCTCTCCTCACAACACTTCCTGTCTCTCTTTATCTGCCCTTTCCAATAAAGCCAAAAATGTCCTAAAATATCTTTAAAATATATAACTAAAGAAAGGCCTGGGTTGATGGTTATGTGTAAAAAGAATATTCCAATGGAGAAAGCAAATTTTACTTTTTAAGTTTCATAAAATGAGATGTAATGTCTCGTTTAAAGGTGCAAATCCGACCTGTGGCTTCTTTCCTGCATGTCATTCCACACACTCTCTCTGTTCAGGATTTCTGACTCTATCCACTGCCCTGTGTCTCCAATAGAGGACCTAAAAGCTCAAAAATAAATCTTTAAAAAAAAAGAATAGACTTTCTGTCTTTAAATGTGATTATGCGAAGAAAAGATATATTTATTGAACCCCAAATCTGGGAAAGTTGCTTGTTACGATAGCTTGAGTATAAGGTCGGGGGTAATTACCGGTAGTTAAGAAAATAAAAGGACGTGGACACAATACTGAGGGCAACACATTTTTATCAATCATCTTTATTTCTATTGTGCAGATTTGTTAGAAATGTAATCTCAGGACACTTTACAGAAAGAGCAGGTTGAGGCTTTACGCGTCATTATATTATTTACAAAGACCCAACATTAATCCACCATGAACACAGCACCAAGCAACATTTAGAAAAAATCTTCCTTTTAAAGGACAGAAAGCTTTCACAGAACCAGACTCATGACGTTCAGATCAGCCATCTGCCGAAACTGTGTACAGTATATGATTAAAAGAGAAAAATAATATTAATAGATATAAACACTATGTACACATTTTACTCATGGTTATTTATTGGAGATAAAAATGCACTATGTTAAAACACACACTGTGTGTTGAAAAATGTTTGACTATGATGTGTGCAGGTGTGAAGGATGTCTAACCTGAGATAAACCATGCACAGTTAGCTGCCTGTAGCGAGTGATGGAGGAGTCTTTTAGTATTTTGATCTCATGATGAAGCTGATGTTGAAGAGTCTGAATACAGCTGTTATTAACGACCTGCGTTAACTATTGACATGTTAACATCAGAGGAACAAACAGACTTCAGTATGAGCTCAGTGAGATTTTATGAAGGACATTTTTAATAGTTGTGACTCATATCAAAACTATCTGAAGGGTTATAAAGTGTTTCTATACTAAAACTGTTGGGTCTGTTTTAAATGAAAAAACTGGACTGAAAATATATTTTTTAAGATCATTGTATATTATTTTACTTTAATCTGAAAAAAAACTGAAGTCCACATTGGTTTCCCTTTCTTCTTCTTTAATGTGTCTTTAAATTACTTAAAATTAGCAAGTGTTCAAAAATAGCTCTGACGCTGTCATCGACGTTGACCGTCAAAGAAAACAACATACTTGCCAAGCTAAAGATGGTAAAAATAGCTCAAGGATTTGCACCTCATCATTTAACATATGTTTAGGGAGCAGATGACTTATTTTTATCTTAAATGACTGGCTCCACGTGCCACATAAGCATTAAGCATTAAGCATTCATTTCTTGGCTGCTCTGGTTTCACCATGAAAAACCCACCTGCACGCCAGTTTTCAAAGTCAGACCCTAAAAAAAGGAATTCAAGTCTGAATTTGAAGATGGAAAGATTCATTTCGAAGGACGAGAACGGTTCAGAGAAGGTCGCTTTTTGAAAACTTGACCAAAGTTTTGATCAACTTGTTCGTCCACAAGCTGTGAAGCTTTTCAGTGACTTCTGCACCGTGTGTAGTGTGCATGAACATTTCAGCAAACGCTCTCAGTCGACAAATAACTGGTGTCCTTTTGATCAGTTTGCCTTTTAAGGTAGCATTCAGTGAACAAAGTAATCGATGCCAAAAGTCGAGACTCCTTTACACGACAAATTATGTAATGAATGCCATTTGGTGTTTAGTCCTTCTCAGGTCACAGACTGTCCTAAAGGATGTCACTGGATATCAGCACTCGCTATGTGTAAACAGGCTCAGCCTCGGTGAACTCCATGTTTAACACTAGGTGCATAATGAAACACATTATTAGTCTGACCACGCACTAAAAGAACGTTAAGTCAGTGAAACAGGTACGGGAAAAGTGAAAGGTAGAGGTGATTGACCTAGTTTCAAAAACATTTTTTTTTTTTAATAGATATTAAATAAAATACTGAAGTAATCAGTATGTCTATGTCAGGGTAAGGAGTATACATCACTTTAAATGCATGTATAAATATGAGCTTGATCTTCTGAATATTTACATGTTAATATTAGCCCGGGGAAGATTAAAAAAAAGAAAAAAGTACGATGAGAGCGGTTGTAGGAAGATGCAGTGAACTATTATCAATGCAAAATCTCTCATCTAAGAAAGTGTAACTCTAGTTTCAAGTCAAAAATATCTCATTTGACTTATTTTAAGACACATTCTCCCGAAGTGTATTGTATTTCAAGATATAAAACGAGTTGAAAAGACAAAATCACGTACACTACTCTTACTTGGCATCAATCGGTAATGCCGAGTAGCAAGAGTGGTGATTTTGTCTTTTTATTGTGATAGTTTCATGTCCTATGCTCTGACTTTATGACTGGATGTGCGGACACTTCCTTTAAAAAGATGTCAAACATGAAAAATAAGTCCTGCATTGCTTGTAATGTGTAGAAATATCTTCCAATGAGGCAAGCACATTTTACTCGAGTGTCCTAAAATCAGTTGTACAGCACTATCTAAATGATTTAGATACAACTTTGCATTTCAAGGCACTAGTAAAATGTGCTATCCTCATGAGCAGATATTTCTACTCAGTACTGTATAAGAAATGTAGACCTCATTTTTTTATGTTTTATATTTTGTCTTAAAACAAGTGCTTTCACATATTTTTGACTTGAAATTAGACAAATAAAGTTAAGGAAGACTTGAGAGTTTTCAGTTTTGCCATCAGGTGGATTGTGTCGTGATGTTAGTACCTGCTCACTCAGAAAGCAGACTGGGCCTGTGGCAGGAAAGGTAATGGCACCATGAGATGGCAGATCAGTCCAGGACTAAGCAGCTGTGAATACCTGTTTTACATCTGTACTAAAAACTGAGGTCCCGCTCAACTTCAGGCTGATTTAAGTTCCAAATACTTTTCGGAAATTTGGAGTGTCACAGGAAAGAGGAAAATAAATTGTCATTGTCATTCCCATTTCTTATAGTTTACATAGAAATATTCAAACACAGCACAGAGAAAAAACCAGCCTGCTCCATTAATGAGAATAAAAAACTGTCCATGCTCTCACTTTCTGTTCATGATCGCTGCCTGTGAACTCCTTCTGTGCTCCTTACATTACCTCATAGTGTACATACTCAGGCCATGGTGTGATGTCTTACACCTTTCCGGCAAGAACTGTATTTCAGGTGTGAGTCCTGCCTAAAGACATGAGATATTTTTATAACCCTGTCACTTTCTGTAGAGCCTGACCGCCTGTATTTCAATGATGGAAGTGACAGGAGTCGTATTATTTACAGCGATTTGAGAGTTGGCGTCTTCGTGTCTGTTTGGCACATCTTCATGTCAGATTTCTTGCTCTCACTTTCATCTCTATAAGGAGGCATGGGTTTTCTTTGGTGATCATCAATAAAATACTCTTTTTCATGTGTTTAACTCTTCTTCTTTTTTCTTTTTCAACAGCCAGTGAACAACGCTGATTTTATCATTCCAGTGGAAATTGATGGAACGGTTCACCAGGTAGGCACTTGACGTGATGAAATGATCATTTGAATCTGTATTTGATTTTTAATTTTGTGTGAATATCATCAAAGCAATGTCAAAGCCCAAGCCCAAGCACTTTCATGCAGCTTTGTAATGATTGCTAGATTTTCTGCTGAAAGTCCCAAACATGGAAACATTATGGAAGCAGGGTTGACAACATTGAATGGGCGTGTACCAGTCTGTATGCCACACACCAAAATCTATGCTTTTCAAAATCTTAAAAAAACAAACAAATCCAAAAGTAAGGGATTGAAATACTGCCCGCTGACTTGAGTTTGCATTACAAACTGTATGCAATCAGCTTGACAGAGCTGTGGCCCACCCTGTTGATGGCTCCAAGCAGCAGGTGTCTATTTCCATGGCCTGACGAAATGAGGAAACCCTGGCAGGCTTCTCAGAAATCACTGGCCATCAATCTCGCTCCTTGGCGCATATTCTGCCCTGCTCGTTGGTGCTCTGAAATGGCGGTGACTTTTCCCTGCAGGAGTCATATGATAACTGTTGTGCTGGGCCTCCCAGGAGACAGAAGAGCCTTGTTGTTCAAAGGGCCTGGGTCTGTTTCAAGTAATCCAGGATAGGCTTGTTAAAGTGGGGAAAGCCTATTCGGGACAACTTGGTTCAGAAACAGGGCTGCCAGCATCTCAGGGGAAGTAGAAAGATGTAAAGTCAGTGGGAAGGTCACCTGAAGTGTTCTTCAGTTTGCAGCAGGCAGCCAGCCAAGCACAATGTTTACCACTGTGTTAGAGAATGCGGGCCAAAGTGAGCTAGATGTTGTTGAAAGCAAAGCAAGAAGTGTGCAGTGTGACTGATTACTTAGAGCTCCCTCTACACCTGTCTGTCACAACCTGCAAAGCAGCTCACACCACAGTGCCTCATAACTGAACCTACAAACATGTACGGTTTCAATGTCTTTAAATGCATACGCAGAGCACACAACATCATAAGTAGGGATGCATAATGTTGTCAGCTTACTTTTATTAGTCATATAGAGGACAATTCTCACATAAGGCATATTGTTCGTCTATAGAAATGATTAGGCTGCATTCATTGATGTGTCCTGAGACACAGTGAATATACTTTTGTACTGTTTTAAAAACATATTCAGTTCTTATTATGAGAGACATAAATATCAGGGAAACAATAATGCAATATTTTTTTGTCAGAATGTATAAAGATAATACCATCAGTATTAGTATAAGTGGGTTTACTCCTTGTTTAGGCGGACAACAGAGGGAGGACTGAATGATTGCAAAATGTAAATGCAGAGATTAAAGGGGCTGGCTTGATGAGCTAGAATAAAGGCTGGTGAAAAAAATATAATATCCATAGTCTGAATGCAACAGACAAGTTAATAGTCATGTACATTGTAGTCATGTACCTACTGGTGTTTCAATGTCCAGTATGGTCTTAAAATCCTACTAAGATTTTGACTCCTGAAAATGAAAATGTAGAGATGCAAATTGGTGCAAACATTGCTCATCAATATGTTATCATGTTAATGTGAGAAAATGCCATCTGTGCTCACCATGAATAACACCACAAAATGCACATTATTTTATTTAATATAACACAATACATCAGCTCAGGGATCAGCTCGAGTCTCTAACAGCTCAACACAGGATGAGGGGTGTAAACTCTGAATGGATAACATCTTGATCAAAACTTGGGTGTCATGTTCAGAAAGTTAAAATGCATATTTCTATATGAAACGCCTTCATATGCACTGGCATATTCTGAAGGTGTCCATGTTGCCTTTATTAATTACTCGATGCTGGCGCTGTATCTGCCAGTATATTTCTCTTTTAATCATTTCTTGGCTGGCAGGTCAGATGTAGCCCCTCTCCTTTATGTGTTCACACTTCCCCTTTGGCATTTTTGTTTTCCTGATCCTATTCTTAAAAACTGAACCATTTGTGTCAGGGGACTGTGATTTAATACCCTCCCTCCTTTCTTGTGGCCGTTCAGGTTTACGTGTTAAAGAGACCCCACGTCGACGAATTCCTCAAGAGGATGGGCGAAATGTTCGAGTGCGTTCTGTTCACTGCAAGCTTATCGAAGGTGAGACTTCTGCTTTCATCATCTGTAACTCGTCATAGCATGAACACAAACAAACTTGTCGTGCAGAGTGACACCTGTTGTAACAGTTTGCTTTGAATAACTGGAAGCCGAGTGTTTGCTGATTTATGGTTGACCTTCTACACGCTCCTTAACGAATAAGATTTAATATGATAGCCGTCAGTGGATTGCTCTGACATTTTAACCTCTAACATTTGCTTCAAACTGTGTTAACCTCAGCCTTGACTTCGCTTTGTAGTTACAACTGGGTGACTCACTCTGTTGTGATTAATGAGGTTGAATGTGCCGTGTTTGTCTACAGCGCGTGACCGTATGAGGAGTTTATGTCGTGAGACCATCTTGGGAAACCAAATCCTTCTGGTTTAAATGTGTCTGAGCTTTAATGTTGCCCTTCCTCTATATCTGACATGCATGTCTCTTCGTGCACAAACTGTGCATTGAAATGTGATGCAGCTTCTGGGTAGGCCGTAATATTCAAGTTTACACGGCTGACTTTAAAACATGAGACCCTTAAAGAGCCTGTAAGTCCCACAGTATTTACAGACTAATATACATTAAGCATCATTAAGTTATAGCTTCTCAGGGTGCTGGTGGCGCAGTGGATGGCGTCCCATGAATGGAGGCTGTAGTCTTCCAAGCCGGCGGCCCGGTTGGAGTCCAGCCTGTGGCTCTTTCCCGCATGTCATTCCCTGCTCTCTCTCTCTCCCTGATTTCCAGCTCTATCCACTGTCCCATCTCTCCATTAAAGGCACAAAAAGCCCAAAAATAAATCTTTAAAAAAAAAAAAAAAAATTATAGCTTCTCTGAAGAGAGTTTTACCCCTCTGCACAGTCAAAACAGTCAAAACAACATAGTGGCCAGAGAGCCCCACATTTTACAATAGCTAATAATAATAAAACTGAGTGCTGCTCTTTAAGAAAAGGCGAGCAAAGCAGCTTTAATAATAAAGCGCTTCATATTTTGAGGCCAAATTCAAAATGCTTAACATTGGCAGAGAAAGGCAAAAGTATCTTAGATCTGAATGTGTCTTGTGTCTGGGGGTCTATTTGATATCATCATGAAGTTATTTCTCGTCTGTTTCCGGGAAATCAGTTTATGGCAGCTTCAGTAAGTTTTATTCTGTCTCACAGTCCAACCAGCTGACTGCTTCCTTCAGATCTGTTGGCCCTACTGGGTTTATACTTAGATTTAGATGGCTTCCCGACATCCAATGAATGTGCAGCGTTTCCGAGACGATTTTCTGTCTTGTAGCTTGCCAGCTTGGTGGCGTGTTGTTAAGAGACTTAAACCCATGCATGGGTTCCCCTGGGGCACTCCAGCATCCTCACTCAGTCCAAAGACATGCTGGTTAGATTAATTGGAGACACTAAATTGCTCGTAGGTGTGCCTGGCTGTTTGTCAGCCCTGTGATTGACTGGTGACCAGTCTAGGGTGTACCCCGCCACTCACCCAGTGACAGCTGGGATTGGCTAAGCAGGATTAGCAGTATAGATAATGGATGGATGGATGGATGGATGGATGGATGGATGTGGGTCTGGCTTGTAGGGATACTGATGGCTCATTTAAAGGCATAGTTTATGAATAGTCGCTGTGTGCAGAGCACCTTGATACTTTTATTAAATTAGAAAGTGCCTAGACCTTCTTTATGATAAATAACAACTGGAAATAATTATTTTTCTAAAAAATCAAAACCTTTACCTGACTCATTACATTAAAGCTCAGTATTTTAATATATATCACATGATTTCCCCCCTTTCAACAACAACCATTAGCAGTCTTCAGATCCAGATGTCAGCTGGTTCTGAAAGATTCTGTTACTTCTGAGTGAACGACATTGTGAGGGCTTCTCATCGCACACACAAAATAGACAACATTTTTTTCTGTCCTTAATAATCCTTCAGCTTGTCTTGTAGTTTATTAAATGATCATCATTTCTTTAGGGTCCTAGAATTAAAAACACATGATGTAGCTCTGCATTGTTTAAAGCTTCTTTGTGTGTTTTCCTGTTTCTTCTTCTTCTTCAGTATGCAGATCCTGTGTCAGACCTGTTGGACAAATGGGGGGCCTTCCAGAGTCGCCTCTTCAGGGAGTCGTGTGTTTTCCACAAAGGGAACTACGTCAAAGACCTGAGCCGCTTAGGAAGGGATCTCAACAAGGTCATCATCATTGACAACTCCCCGGCCTCCTACATCTTCCATCCAGACAATGCAGTATGTTGTTTCTCAGACAAACATAAAGATATTTGTTCGAAAGAGTATTTCATATCTGTCTGTTGTTGAGTATAAGTCTTCTCATGTCATCTTCCCTTGCTCCCTTGAACCTCCAGGTTCCTGTTGCGTCCTGGTTTGACGACATGTCGGACACCGAGCTCCTCGATCTTATCCCCTTCTTTGAGAGACTGAGTAAAGTAGACGACATCTATGATTTTCTCCAGCAGCAGAGGACTTCAAGTTAACAGAGGCGGGATAGTGGGATAAAAAAAAAAAAAAAAAAAGATCACCAGCAGCTGTCATCACGGGGCCACGGAGGCTGGTGGGCCAAAGGCTCCACGCTGCTTCCAACTACAAGGACCACACTGCAAAAAAAATGCCTGTCATTAAATCTCATATTCTTCCTCTTTATTGCACAAGAAGGTAAAAATAAATCATTCGGAGGGGTTTTATACTTTCACACTGGAAAGTCCATCAGGAAGTTTTGTTAGTATAACACTGAATATGAGATTCAATGACCTCTGTAGATTTTCTTTTGCAGTGCAGCTAGTGTGTTGTTGTTGTTGTTGTCGTAATGTGACAGCAGTGACCTATATAAGTGTGATGTAAGCCTAGATTGTGTGAACGGTCGTTCAACGCCATTGTACAAATGAACCACATCAGTAATTGTCATGTCAGTATCATGTAGCATTCGAAGCTCTAACACAGATCATAGAGTCATCGAATACTTCCCCTTAAATAGCATCGACTTCCTTCTGTTAGCCAAACACGGCTGAATGTGTGTGTAGTCAAAGACAATCATTAACTCTAGAGAAAGTGTGTTGGTTGAATAATTCCTATAACATGTCGTGATGCATTTTAATGAACATTTTGGATCTGCACTTATTATGCGTCTTTTGGTAAAGTTTTGTCTGCTGGGGTGGAATCAGACTCCAGAAGCATGACAGCTCTCGTCTTTCAGATTGGAAACAAACTGGAATAGTAATCATGGGAAGCCATATCCAGTTGTGGATTTATTGTAGTCTTTACTAACTACATTTCAGATAATAGATGAGATCTAATCACTAAACTCTGTCATACTGGACTCTCTTTGTTTTTTTTTTAAATGTGTTTTGACCCTTTTATTTGTTGTCTTGTTTCCAGGTCAGTCACAACACATCATTATCTTGTTTCTTTAAAAAAATCAACCTCATATCTGCAAACTCCAACAAAACCTGAATAAGAGATGTAAGAAATTCAGTCTAGATCTTTGAGAGACTTCTTGTTTTAACTGATTGCTCCTGAACTGAATTTTAATATACACAGATTTGCACATGGAAAAAAAAAGGTTGTACTTGATTTTTAAGTGTGTCCAATCATTTCATTTTGGTTTTATATTAATCTTTATTTAAAGTTTTGATCAGGAGGACGGAGTTGCGTCCATTCAAACTCCAAGGGAAACCTTCAGTATTTCTAAACCTTTTTTCTTTCTACAGATTTTGGGTCTAAATGACTTCAGTCAATGAATCATTATTTGTACAGCGCCAATTCATAACAAGTGTTATCTTGAGACGCTTTACAAAAGAGCATATGGATAATATGCAGGAAGGATTTCTCAGTTGCGTTCCTGTTGTCCACACTTCCTTGCCGCTGAGTTGACACTCTGAGCAGGCCGTGCAGGAATGAGGAACAAAAAGTAAATTATTGCTGCCGCCGGCCATGGAGCAGGCTGCAATGTTTTACTACTGAGAGGCTCAGAGTGTCTGAATCATTATGGAATAGATTCATACAAAAAATATATATATTTTAAATGATTAATTAAAGTAAGTTGCCCTTTTCAAAGCAGAAACTGCTTCTGCTTGGAAAGGGATCATAGGGGTCATCTCTCACCTCTCTCTTTCCTGAATATTATCCATCTATCTTACCCACAAGGCAAAAATGGTCTCAAATAATCATTACAAATGATCTCACTTTACCTAGGACATGTATCCTTATTGCCTTTCTCAATGCTGTCAGATGCATTTGATAATATCTGGAGTTTGTCGGTGCCAAACACGAGCTGTTGTGGTGAAAGTACAGGCTGTCCTGTGGCTGCGTACTGAAGCAATCTGCAACAGCAACGCCTCAACATCTTTTTACCTTTTGAATATTTTAAAACACCTTTATGAAAACATATTATATTATCATATATCGGCCTGGGATTAAAAATACTGGAGTTCCCCTTTAAACATATCTGAAAGCACACCTTGATGAATTCAATCGTGACAGGTTTTTTCCTCGTTGGATCCTTTGGTGGAGTCGGATGTAACATGCTTATTAACCTGTTTATCCAGTTTCATGGGGGAGACTTGAAGCAGACATCTTTTAGTGTGTCTCTCTGTATGTGTGTGTGTGGGGGTTTCAGCGTGATTGTACCTGTGTGAGTAATGACATTGTTTAATATTTTAAAAACAAGATACGTGAAAACCATAACCTGTCTTTAAATAATGATTTAACTTTTCTTTTTTTTTACTGAATGCAACACGAGTATTAACATTGTGATTCGAGTTAAGAAACTGGTTCAAACGAGTGAGTTTTTAAAATTGCTGCTGATTAATGATACGATTGATTTAAAAAAAAAAAAAACTACACACAACTAGAGATATTTCTACCTTGTGTCAATAAAGCATGTTTTATTGAAACAGATCATAAGTCACCACCTTTTTTTTTGAATGCGTTTTGAACATGTGACACGACATGGCAGAGGTGAAAACAAGTCAAATGGAAAGATGGAAAATGGAACAGATGTGATATGAAAACAAGTATCAGTCGCTGTTTAGTTCAAACACAACACATTGAAGCTAACACACCCTGATCATCAGTGTCAAGTCAAACTGATCAAGTTATTTTTAGACTCATTCTTTCCTTGATTTCCCAATTTTTTGGCCCGATGTATTTACATTACAAGCCCCTCGCTACAAGACAGAAAGTCTTTCCAGTCATCAATACAAAAAAGAACAAATTATTTAAATAGTCTTAAACGGCTAAAAGTAACCGGATGATCCTGACTACAGCCTAAAGCTAAATGTAAATTGTACATGCATACATGTCAATTGAAACATTATGCCCTAACCTCTGGAGTCTGACACACTGTCACCAAGAAGACTTTAAAAGCACACCAAGTGCAAATCAGATTATACCGCTAAGGATGTTGCGCAATTATGCACATCCGTTTTGACTATGACTTGTGTTTCCTCTTTTCATTAATACTATTACATAACATAGACAAACAAATGATCAGTTCAAAGGTCAGGACAGAGGTCTAAATTGCAAAATGTTATTTTTTCCTGCTTTTTTCTTTTGTTTGATTTTGTCAAAAATGATGAGCAAATAGAGTGAACTACACCCAAATGGTATTACAAAACACCTCTACACTTCAAACGCTGTGTTTTTAAAATCTCTTTAAGTACATATGTATTCAGACATGGCATTATTCATTCGGTTATTTCCATATCTGACTTTATTGAACTCTTCAGTCAAACTGTAATTTGATTATATCAGTACGTCTTTAGGTTTTTTAAGTATTTAAATCCAATATTTATTGTCACAAAAACACATTTTAGCGTCAACTTTCACAGCACAGTTCGAGTCAGTTCACGTACACACAGAACATTATTTACATCTTAACTGCACGTTGCATTATGATTAAGAAACTGTGAAAAACATCCGCACACTCTAACAATGACACATTTTTCTACAGTCAGATCTTACTTCCTTGTATGCAAAAAAACAACAACAACAACAACGCTCCCTCAGTTAATTGAACTGCATGATATTCATCACAACCCTGTTTAAACCACTTTTATAGACATTCTTGTTTGTAGATATAGAAGCGATGTCAATGTCACAACTTAAAAGCATCAATCAGTGTCGATCAGGCGATGACAGATTGGAGATGTCACTCACGGATCACCTGAAATATGAGCAGAGGAAAAAATGAGACTGGACCCGACAGCTTCAGTCAACAAGTCTGACCTCATTCTGTCAAAATATAATCCTGTCACGTGTAAACTGTCCATTCTATGACAAGTTTTAATTCACATTTTTTTGTAAAGCACAGTTGCTAAAAACATTTTTTCTTTAAACATCTCTGTTTGAGACCACTTAAAAGTTATCAACATCCACCTGAGACCCGTTATGACGAGTTCTTCTGGCCATGATGTACACAAGAGACATTCACACAACAGAGAGATTTTACTTCTAACATTGTTGTATTTGACAGATTTTAAGGGCTTAAAAAAAAATCTGAATCTATCTATCTATCAATCTATCAATCTATTATTTGACCAGGAAAAAGTAAAAGTCTGTTTTGAGGAATGGAAATGAAATCCTTTTTTCTGAATATATTTCAAAAATTATTTCTGAACACACTCAGAGATAATATTAAAAAACACACTTTTGCTCTCCCAATATTTAAGCATTTTGATTGAAGTAAATGACCTACCAGTGTCTTTCCCAAGTACAAGCTATTTTACAGTGAAGCCTTTTTTTTTTTTTAAAGATTCATTTTTGGGCTTTTTAGGCTGTTATCGTAGAGATAGGACAGTGGATAGAGTCAGAAATCAGGGAGAGAGAGCCACTGATCAGGTTCTGGGTCGCCCACTTGAAGGACCACAGCCTCTGTACATGGGGCGCACACACTAACAACTATTCTACTGGCATGCCTGCTATATTCTTATTATCCATCCATAGGTGTAGCAGTACACAATATTTATATATTATTATTTAATTTTATAACTGTCAGTACTTTTTTCTTTTTCATTTTGATATCTTTCACTTGGTTATATAATCATTTACTCTGAGCTGTTGTTATAACTACATTTCCCACAAAGAGGGAGCGGTTGTGTAAACCTCATCTGATGTTCACCGTGGTCGGAAGAACTCCAACTTTTCATTGCGAAACAAGAAACAGCATGTGCAGTACAACTGCTCTGTTACAAGTTGTTCATGCATTCAAACATATTATGTTAAAGTGTACTAATTCAAAATACACAGAGAGTACTGTGGCTTTATTACAAGACTTTAAAAATCATGGAATTCATTTGGTTGTCTTTGTCACCTCACATTTAATACATTTGCATCATGTTTCTGATCCTTCAAAATAAAATACAAGTAAAGCAATCAAATGAACGTAGTGGAAGACACAGTCTGTATTAGTTTATGAACACATACATTTTACTTTTGTTTCATTTCAAAGCTGAAGAGGCCTTCTGGTTGTGCTGTGCTTTGCCCTAAATACCGCATCAGTTCTTGACCAGGCTCACCACCAAAGCCCAATCGCTGAACCTAATACCCTTTCTTTATAAGCCCACATAATAAAATCGAGCTAAAATTAGTTTACTGCACTGCACATTTAAAAAGCCCAAGAAGGTTTTGTAGGTCTGTGTGCTCTGTGATGCCTGACCTACATCCCTTGATGCATCATAAACACCTTATATTATTTACAGAATGCAGCATACAAGGAGCCAAAGCATTTACTGCATTTATTACTAATGTGCTGCATGTGCAGTGCCAAGTCATGCAACACACTTAACACGTCATGCTGCCAACTCAGAATCAGGTTGAAGGATTTATGAATCTGTTTTGTTATATATGATGGATTTATTGACTTATCATGCTGTTTTAAGTTTGTTTTGCTAAATAGATATAGATTAAAAGAAAATCACATTAAAGCACATTTTTCTCTCCTTATTTGAAAAAGTGCATCAGTACACCGACTCTCTAATTTAGGATGCTGATTTGACCATATGAGCCAAGTCAAAGCTTTGTCATTACCTCCATCTAGTGGTTCATTTATGAATTACATTCAACACGTTTACAAATGGGAGGTCTGGTGGCGGTATTGGTTGGATGTGGTTAAGCTCATTTAAATTCAGTGTTACCACTAAGGCTATAAAAAGGCTGATAAACCTCAACATGCATATTAATCAAATTATTTAGCATTTTTACAAATTCTAGAGATGATTCTGCATATTTGAGAAAGATTGGACATCATATGGAATGAATGCATTGCAAAGACTCAAGATTTGGGATGCCAGGCCGGGTTCGAATCCGGCCATGGCCCTTTTCTACAAATCATCCTCCCACATTTCCTTTCTCTCTTCAACTGTCCTACTGTATGTATTAAATAATTTTTACCAGTTTAAGTTACTGGAATGCCTTCTGTCATCTGATGCTTCACAGATGTGAACAGTTCTAACATGTAGACACCCTTTATATTGACATAGTTACCTACAAAATGGCTTGTCTTTGGGAGATTTATGTTTAAGAATGGTTAAGGTCAATGTATCGGTAACCTGGTCTCGTATCAATAAAGACTCTGTTGTAAACTGAGCCTGTCACTGAAGACTATTTTCAAGACACTTTAAAATGTAATTTAAGAAAATATAAATAAAGATTGTTCTCCAGGGGAAATTAGTCGAAAATGCTTCCTTCCCATTCAAAGAGCTGTGATCAACACACATGAAAACTAGTTGAAGTCATTGCTTTACAATCAGTCTTACCAAATGCCAAATGTTAACTTTTCTATTTCAAAGCTGGCTCTGAATGACAAGTGATAAATCCACCTTAAAGAAAGTTTATCTCATTCTATTCTTAATGGTTTTATGTTCTTATTTCTAGCAGATTCCTGCCCTTTGTGTGACAGAGTATTTTCAAAAAAGTGTATAAAAGCAACATGTATTTTACATTTGTATGTTCTACTGACAATGTAAGTAAAGTTACAGTCTAAAAAAACGTAAAAGAAAAGCTTTGAAGATAACACAAAATCAGCTATACTTCTATTACTTACTAAGTACTCGAAGCTGTGCTCGGCTATTTGCTTTCCCGTAGGTAAACTCCACTTCTCCACTCATGTCCGGGGAGGTTTGTCTGAGGGTCAGCCTGTGGACCGTGCCCATCTTCTCCAGGCTAACCTGGGAACTGTCCTGTAAGGGCTCTCCATTCAGACTCCACACCGGGGCTTTGAGGACCGGGACTGACACCTCACATTCGAAGCAGGCCTCATTCGGGGCCATGACCTCCACATCCTTCAGCTCCCGCACCATCTGCAGGGACCGGGCTGAATAACCAGACAGACAAAAGGAAATTGTGGGTTCACAAAATATATATATATTTTTTTATGTTAGGCCTTGCCTTGATAGCCACACAAAGCCCATATCTTTGTATTTGTGTTTGTTTGTAAATGCTGAAATCTAAAAGCCAAAAATGTTTATGTCTCTGTGTCAAAAATATCCCATGTTCAGTTTTTTCATAAAATATTAGGAAGTTATCAAATGGAATGATGTTTATTTTCAAAAAGAGAAATTACTTAAATTGGAAGAAAACTGAGAACCATTAGGAACCCTTGGTCTTATCATAATAGCCTACCACAGTTAAATAAGCTTTCGTCCATATTTTTTTGACTAACTTTGTTCACTTTATTTGTGTAAATTTTAACCCTGTCATTTTAAATGCATAATTGTTTTTTTTTTTTTTCTTTCCAATCACCTTTAGGGGTCTTTTTGTCTTCATTTTAATACAGGGTGGCTGGAGGGGGCGGAGCCAGTCCTCCAAAAGCCACGCCTCCAACCAGTAATTTGGTGAAAGCAATAATGTTTATAATAAACTGTAATATTTACCTAAATATTAAAATATTGATTTGTCTTGACAAAAATAAAAATGTATATTATAAAATTCTAATCATATTTTTAATTTACGTAATGACGTTACAGTGACGTGCTCACGCTTACCCATGAACTTTGCCTGAGAGCACTGCAAACATTTCTCTACTAGTTTCTTTAAGTGTTGAACCATTTCGGTGAGAATCAGCTGATAAAGGACCGCGTTAAGTTTGAATTAAACTAATTAGATTACAGTTGCTTGCTTGATGGCTTTTAATTCACAAGTGATGCCGCAGATGGAAGATGATGAAGAGTACGAGGAGGATGAAGAGGATGAAGAGGATGAAGAGGGCTGTCAGACCGAGCTTATGTCTGCTGAGTTTAAACTTTGTCTGTCCTGTGTTGTTTGTGTCTCGCTAGCTAACGCTGGAGCTGACATAATCATCTCATTAACTTGAAGAATCCTTTGAAAGATCTTTGTTACCTGTCATAGATTTAACAGATTTTTCTAAATAAAATATTAAATATGACTACAATATCAAAGTGTCTCTATGCAGTTTCAGCAAAATTTACCTTTATTTATTTATTTTAATAACTTTACATTAAATCTCCTGAAAAATGAGGAACAAGAATCAATTGCCAGATCTTTGTCATCTGTCATAGATTTGATCAAATAAAATATTAAATAGGACTAAAATATCAAAGTGTCTCTATGCAATTTCAGCAGAATTTACCTTTATTTTATTTTTTAAAATAACTTTACATTAAATCTCCAGAAAATTCTCAGGATAACAGTCAGGGACATGGGGAACAAGAATCCTTTGAAAGTTTATTGTCACCTGTCTTAGATTTTTCAAAATAAAATATTGAATAGGACCAACATATCAAAGTTCTCATTGAAATTTATGGAAAATTAAAATTGAATTACTTTAAAAACTATTCAGTAAAACAATCTGAAAATGAAGAGGGATATTACAATTGTTGTAATTAAATTCTTATTTCATTTTCATTTGAAGTTCTTGCACCCGTACCGTAGATGTGCATCAAATTTCAAGCGGTGGCTCGCTTGACCTGGGTTTTGCAAAAGACGGCTCACTTGATGGCGGTGTAACTTTCAATGTATCTGCTTTACCGTAAATCTTGAATTAATGAAGTGCTCCAGCTGTTTTCCCACAGACAAAATGTAAAATGTGTTGTTACTTGAATTATCATGTCCAGGATTTGTTTTGGTTTACTTTATGCATTCATTTGTTTATTTTTTATTAGAAACATCATTAGGTGTGCTAGGGTTGTACATTTAGAAATATGCATTTTGATAAAGTACCTGTCAATTTCATCCGTTTTTTTTGTAATAATAACTTTAATGCTTTTTATTTAAGTCATTAGAACCTGCTTGAACATCCAGCCCCTCGACAGCTCAAGATCTCCCTGATGCTACTTTTTATTTGTATTATTATTATTATTATAATAAGCAATATATCGTTTTCTGACACTTTCTGATACATTTATATTTCTTCAAGTGTTTTGCATTTTTGTATTTGAGTCTGAAAAAAATGCAACTAAACTGATATTGGAATCATTACGTTCATCTTTATAGAGTTACAGAAAGCTTTTTTATTTCCTGTAATGAATATTTTTTTAATAAAAGCAGGCGGTGTGACTGTTACAAGTTACACTCACAGTTGTAATAATAACAACTTGAATAACTATGCCTCCATTCTTTTAAAGTGTACCAGCAAGCCAGGGGGAAATGGACTTCACATTGCCGGCATGTTGGCTGCAAGAGAGGGAGCTAACTCGAGGGTAAGGCATCAAAACTTCATAAAGTCAAAATGTTTGCTCTGAAAAGGGCAGTCCTCTACCTCTATATATTTAAGGTGAGAACATTTTAGAGGGCACTGACCTATTATACTTATAGAAAAAAATTAAATAAAGTAACCTTTGCATTTTTCCAAACTAATCATATGTACGCTCACTTGTTTTTAAAGAATAAAACTGGGCTTGTTTGCTTGTTTGATAACAATCTTCCTTTTTTGGCTATGTTCTGGGCACTATTTTATACATATGATTATTATGACATAGTTTAGTGTTCAGAAAGTTGAATAATAGTCTGCAATAACTAATAAATTAACAGCGACGTCAGTGGCTCTGTTTCATCTTTAACCCCATAACATAGAAATTAAGGCCAAAATTAAACCAGAATGTGGCAAATGTTAGCTTCAAACAGAATAAATGTGCTGTTATCCAAGAGAGACATTACATGTGTTAGCTTTGCTTCGCCATCATGTGATCCTCCCTTCCCCGTGTAAGTGTTAGTACAGATGGCTGGTCTTTATTCCACTCTGGGAGTGAGTTGTTGGTAAAATAGGAAGGATTGTAACTCAAAACATGGCATACATCACTTATGCCTGTACTTGCTATATTATCAGTTCCTGATTTCTAATAACAATCACATAAATATAGTTTATATTTAAGTGTGACTGCCTTATTACAATTTTATGCAAACTAATTCCAACTCAAACAGTTTTGGAGGTGTTGTTAGATACGTATTCTGTGCCGGATTATTTTTTGTTTTTACAGGATTGATTATATTGTACAATACACTTGTTTAAAATAAGACAAAAAAGTGTGTCTCTGTTTCATCCCTTTATCCCCATAACATGGAAATTAAGGCCAAAATGAGAACAAAAGGAGAGACATTACATGTGTTAGCTTTGCTTGGCCAGCAGATGGAGCTAAGAGGGTACGTATGTGATCCTCCATTCCCTGTGTAAGCTTCAGTACAAGAGGTTGGTCTTTATTACACTTTTTTGGGAAAAAGGAAGCCTTGCAACTCAAAACATGGCATCCATCACTAATGCCTGTACTCGCTGTGGAGTATAGCAATAACAATCAAATTAATATATATATATGTATGTGTGACTGCCAAAGTTGACTGTGTCAACTCCACAGAGCTTGTATTGATTACAAAATCTTACCCTCCACGGTCAGTTTTGCAGAGCATGTATGCTCTCCAACCTGTACACTGTATGTGCCCTCATCATGTTGCGCCACCTCCTGGATGATTAGTTTGCGGTAACAGCCTTCACTGCAGATCTCAAATCGCTCGGATGGCAGGATGACGTTGCTGCCTTTGTACCAGCGGATGCTACATCTAGGGTTTGATACAGCACAATCCAGGAGCACCCGAGTCTTCTCAAGGGCCGTCTTATCCTGCAGAGGTTTGACTATGTTGACTGGGAGCTCTGCAATGGACAATGGAGTATTTAGTGATCACATTATAAATGGAAGACTGAGGAAATTAAAACATCGTGGGACTTGATTATAGAGTTAATGTTTCCAGAAGCCAAAATCAACACACTTTCTACCCCACAAGGCCCCTAATTTATACGACCAGAAATGAGTTGTAGAGCTTTAAGCGCTTACAGTAAAAAAAACAAAAAAAACAGCAATAATTATATTCTGTGGGGAAAAATATAAACTCTACTGAGCAAATTCAAATCTTGTGTAATTTATGAGTAAGGACTAGAAAACTTCATTCATAAGCCAACCCTGTTGAATGAACACCTTCTAATATGTATAAATCATACCTTCCACCCCCAGGTGAGCGACAGATTCAACTTGTCTGGCGACAAACTGGATTTTTCCCGAGTCCTCTGCTCGCACATTGCACATAAGAAGAAAATGTTTGGTCCCTGAAATGACAATTTACATGTCAACACATACCATATTTTTCAGTTTTTTATAAGTTGGATGTTTTTACAGGCTAGGTCATGTGTCACACCCACACATCATCAGCCGACATGCAGGAACATGTGTTTCTGATTTTGATGCTGACCTTCCTGGCGGATCTTGACGGTGCTGGTGGGCTGTATCCTCTCCCCATTTTTGTACCATTCTCCCGGCACATCCTCCACTGAGATCTCACAGACAAACACTGCATTCTGATCTTCCTGGATGTCCAGGTCTTCAAGACCATGTAGGATCTGTAGCTCACGCTCTGCCAAGAAAACAGCTTTCTATTACCTTTGAACAAATTCAAATGGTAAAAAAGCAAACAAAAAAACAACATCCCTTACAATTGCAAGACTCAATTTATATCTAATTAGTGCGCAGCAAGGAAGAGGTCTGTGCTATAACATTCACTATACTCCTTTTAAAATATAATGCTGTAATGGGTAGACATTTATTTCTGAACCATAGTATACAACTGTACTTTGCATGCTAAATGTTTTACAGTAAATATCAAAGCACTGTTATGTCATTTTTGTGTCATCAACTCAAAGCAAGGCCCCGGTTCAAAAGACCTCACCACCCCCCCGTGATACAAAAGGAAATGAACAGAGCAGCTTCATTTTCCTTTTCATATTGATAATATTCTAAGTAATGTTAATAGGGCTGGGAATCTTTAGGTGTCTCACTTTTCGATTCAATTTGGATTCCTGGGGTCATGATTCGATTCAGAATCTATTCTGGATTCACGATTCAAGTCTATTTTTGAATTAGTTACACATCTCATTTTGCTTTCATGACATAGCCCCAACTGCTGCTGTTCTTTATGCAACATATACCAAAATAAAAACTTTAAAACGAGAAGACCTTGTATAATTTACAGTATCTAGACAGCGGACTTTACCATAGACCTCCACAGTGCAGGACGTAGTTACATCTCCAGCATCGCAGGTGTACACTCCAGAATCACTGACATTACATTTCATGACCTGAAGAAAACGTTTCCTTCCCATTGCATAAATGCGCAAGTCCTTGCCCGGCTTAACCTCGACCCCGTTCTGAAAAAAACAATAACAAAAATCAGTTATGAAGTTAAAGCAATGGCAAACTAATAACTTTATTCATTAAAACTATGTGATGCTTTTCTTAATTTTGCTATATATAGTTACATACTGGTCAACACAAAATTGATGGAATACAATTGACAAGAGCTGTCGAATTTCAGACCAGCAAACATTTAAAGTCATGAGTACTGTTGGTCATGAGAAGTAATTCCACACTTGCCTTCAGCCATTTCACATCGACATTATGTCTTGAAAGCTCACACTCAATGGAGATTATCGCCCCATCAGGGAATTTCTGGTCTTCCAGTTTTCTGAAGATGGTCACGGGGGGCTCTGTTAGAGTAAGAATGAAATATTAGTCAGTCAAACCAACCAATCTTAAATTTCAGATTTACTAACTTTTCTATTTAGTTACTAATTTATCGCGATGACAGTTTCATCCAATCGTCATCCTCAGCTTTTCAACCCCTAGCTCAAAAGGGATGAAGCTTACTGAGTGACTCGGTATGGAGCGGATTATTTTACAGCATGAGGTTAAACTAACACCTGACAGAAAAGACTGAACAGAGCTACCGCTTTTCAATATGTCATGCTAGGCAATTTGTGTTTGTAATGTGAGACTGGATGAAGGCAACAGTAGCAAAGCCGTCACTGTAGTCTATTATGGTGCCTCCATTGGTTGGCATTTGAGTACTGCTCTGTATTGTACATGGTTTGGGAGCTGAAAAATAAATAAGATGTTTTAAAATATTTTGAGCTACGATATACGTTAATTTTCCTCATACTATTTAGTAGTAAAAGTGGTTATTTGCCTAGAATAACGTTTGAGTCCATTTTTTAAGGGAACATCTGATATTTTAAAACCTGGACCCAATTTTAACCTGGTATCTTATTACTTTGATTAATACAAAAAGTTATATAAATAATCTGGCAGTACATTGGTGGACTGTAATGGCTTCAACATAATCTTTTAGGCCAACTGTTCCTGAAAAAAAGTACCTCCCAGTATTTCTTCTTACCACTGACAGGCTTCTGTTGTCATATAACTGTCAGACAACATTACAGATAGGATCAGTGCAGAGTTAAGACTATTTGGTTAAGGTAAGAACTCTTTTTTCAAGAACTGGATCAGTCACATAGCTCTCTTCGAAGTCATCAGACTTCATAAACAATGTCTTCAATTTTACCTCGCAGAACACAGAAGACACTGTTCTACCACTGCCACTACTGGTTAGTGTGTCTTCATTTTTGTACTACAGTATGTTGGATCCATTCAACTCTTCATAACACCAAAGTCACACAACAACTCAATCAAAATAAGGATGATGTAGACAGTCATTATGAGCCTGTGTCACAGCAGCAGACATGATAAATTGTATACATTGCTACAACTTAGAAATCAGATCTTTTTCGTTCGTTTTAAAATATCCCTATAATCTATTTTTCAAAATGACCTACCCTTCACAACAAGTCTTGCAGTTGTCTTCAAATTCTCTACACAGAACATAAAACTGCCAGTGTCCTCTACTGAAAGGTTAGAGATGGTGAGGCTGTGGACTGGTCCTTTGGCACTCATACGGAAGTGATTTGTCGGCTTCAGTTTGATTCCGTTTCTTGTCCAGGTGCCTGGAACATTTGGATGGGACAGCTCCACTTCAAAAGACGCTGTTTCTCTCTCTGTGGTTTTAATGTCAGTCAGCCCTCTCTTCATTGTGATTTTTCGAGCTGTGAAGAAAATTTTGGAGACATAGCTACATTCAGAAAAGTACTTTGTGGGTGCTTTCTATGTTAGTGCTTTCCAGTATAATGAAAACCAAATAGTAGTTTAACAAAGGTAATGTTTGAAAGATTGGCCCCATTCCACCCTAACACTGTAGACATGGTGTCCAATCTCTGTTGCAGAATGGATAGGCAGCAGTCTGCAGCTAAACAATCCATGCTGGCACACATTGACAAGCGGATATTTTAGTCATTTGAGTATGGGGCTTTACACAAAAGCCACATCTGAAACTGCCAACATTTTTCACTTATTCTAACACAGACGAGCATTCCCTGTGGAAAAAAAAGGAGTGTTTATTTTGGAGACCTGATGACAACAACCTTAGTTTTGAAGGCCAGTGTATAAATTTAGATGCAATGAGAGGAGATCCAAATTCATAGGAGGTGCCAACAGCAGCCTGAAGTCCTGACTGTCCCCTTCCCACCCACACTAGTGTTGAAAGAACAGCCTTTAATTCAACCATTGGCCTGTGGATCACAGGACGAAGAAATATAAGCAGCCCGTACCAAGAAAAACAAGCATAAGTACGTCTTAATCACTACAAGATGTCAATGTTATAGTGTCTCAAGCTTGGTATTTTAAGACACACAGTGGTGCTTGTTGGTAAAATTGTACTTTGTAAGTTTTTATTCTTGTTATTTAACAGAGATGTCTTGTTGTTTATCAATAATTTCCTCATTGAACTTCGGTAGGATTTGACATTGGAAATCAAAAGACTTTATAGATCTTGTCAACACAGAAACTCTGGTCTGAAAGTCTGCTTGGGCTGTAAGGCTATCACCTGTTGGTTGCCATCATGTTCCAGTACAAGTGCCACCTTGGTCCCCAGTCACTCAAATTACTCTTACTCAGTTAATTGAGCTTTGCCTTCACAAGAAGCAATGGCAAGAGTTGGAGTCGTCGGCAACGCCGGTAAACAAACAGCAACGGGGCATAGTGAGAACATGTGCACACTCACGTTCCACTGTGAGCTGGGCTTGCGTGCGGTCATGGAGGGTTTCACAGCTGTAGGTGCCCCGGTCAGACATGGCCAGTGTGTGGATGTGGAGGCTGTGTAGTTGGCCTTTGTGTTTCAGGGTGTACTTGGCTCCCGGGTGGATCAGCACCCCTTGCCTCATCCACTGCACCTCGCCAGAATCCACACTCACCTCCACCTCTAGAGTGGCCTCACTGTACTCTTCAGCTACAAGCGGTGCCATTTTCTTGGTGAACAACACCTGTTGCTCTAAAAGCGAATTAAGCAAGTTACTAGATAACTGCATAATGTCAATGTTTAAGTATTTGAAGATCAGTAAAGTGACAGTGCAAGTACAACACATTGAGCAAGTTAAACGGTCTGAGGAGACTTTCCCCCTGCTGTGTCAAACATCAAAACCACAGAGCCACTTGTCTGTGTCAGTTACTGGAGGAATCCTAACAGGAGAAGCTGCCAAACATTGACCGTCACTCTTCAAAAATTGAATTTTATCTAAAGGGTCAATATTTCTCTCTCAATGTATGCTAATGCTACTCAACCATTCAAAATCTCTTGCGTTTATGTTCACATTCACACCAGTATTTTTAAAAATTGCTCACAGTTGAGCATACAGGGATAACCACCAGAGACATATGAGGTATTTTAACAGTAAATGATTGTTAAATTTTGGAACTTCTATGATTTGATGGAGTATACTGAAAGTTCTTATGTAAGGGGCCTCAACTCACCTTGAACCTGGAGTTCTGCCTCTGATACCAACCCCGAGGCATCAGCTGTCACTCTGGCGCTATCTGAAACCCTGCAGTTGTGGATGCAGAGCATGTGGCATAGTCCATTGCTTGAAATGGGAGTGCGCTCATTCACAGCTACTTGCTTGCCATTTAGACGCCACACCAACCGAGTGTCCTCTGGTGAGACCACACACTTAAATACTGCGTCTTCTCCTTCACGGACCGTGGTGTTACGGAGCTCCGCTATAAACTCAACAAGGCAGGGAGCTGAAGGCAAAGCATTCATCTAAATTAGATTCACTGTGCTTTACACTTTTTTCAGTTCTGACAAGCCTTAAAGTTTGCTGATTTAGAATTGACTTACTTTCTACAGTGACAGTGGCTGAGGTCCTGTCATCTGTGGATTCACAGGCATATTCTCCTGCATCTTCATCTTGTAGTTGGTGGATAGTAAAGCTTCGCTCTCGAGCTTGTGCCCGTATGGTGTGCCGGCGGCTGGGTGGGATCTCTTGGCCGTCTTTTAGCCACTGGACATCTCCTTTGGGCTTGTTGATCTCACAACGTAATATTAGGCTATTGCCCTTCAAAGACACTATGTTCTCCAAAGGTCTGATGAATTTCACTGGCATTTCTGATGTGTACACAAAAATCATATAATTCCAGAGATAATAACTTTGCGATTCTCACAGTTAAAAAATGTAAAAATGTAAATAGAGGTGACATTTTGTTTAGCAGGGTTGAGTTCTCACCTTTTACTAAAAGACTGAAATACATCTCATCCGTATTTACGTCACAGACATATTCTCCAGAATCTGACAGCTGCAGGGGATTAATGGTGAGCTTGTGGGTAATACCCTCACTGGAAATGTGAATGTTGTCCTGGTTCAGCAGTTGGCCATCCTTTAGCCACCGGACATTAGCTCTTTCACGGCTCACAGTGGCACACAATGTGACACTCTCATTCTCATAAGCTGAGATTTTACTACTTTCATTTTTATTCACAAATTTAGCAGGGAGCTCTGTGGAAAGCGAGATTTACAAAGAAACTTGCATGTTGAAACATTGAGTGAATCAAACAGGACTCGTGAAATTGGATATTTGTGAGATGTCATTTTGGTCTTACCTTGGACCTCGACAATTGTTATCAATTTGTCATCGACGGCATCACAAATGTATTTTCCAGAATCTGAGGGCTGAAGTCCAGAGAGAACAAGTTTCCTCACAACATCATGGCTTTCAATTTTTATTCGAGTGTCTGGTTTCAGTATATCGCCATTCCACAACCACTGAACAGAGGCGTTGGGCCGAGACACCTCACACTCCAGAGTAAGGTCATCTCCTGCCACCAGAATGTGATGCTCTGGGTTGCCTGAGTTTCCAATAATCTGCACTGGAGGTTCTGTACGTAAAAAAGACATTGCATTATTTTCCTCCTTAATCAAGGAAGCACAGATAACAAATGTATTGCTTAATCATATGATCACCTTTAACAGTGATATAGAAGACCATCTTATCATCCTTTGCATCACAGATGTACTCTCCTGAGTCTTCCAGCCCAGCATTAAGGACAACCAGTGATCGGAAAACGCCTTGCTCCTCGCTACAGTATCGTTCAGTTTCATCAATTAATTGATTATCTTTGTACCAGCTGACAGAGGCATTGGATCTTGATAGTTCACATACAAGAATAATGTCATCTGATACTAAGAACTGCTTTTCTGTTTTTGCATCGGTTTTGCCAACAATTTTTACAGGCAACTCTGAAAATGAACAGAAAAGGAAAGAACAGAAATTCTGTTGAGTTACAAAATATTTTGTCTTTTTATCATCTGTCCAGAATTTTTCATCTTAACTACTCTTTAAAAGTAAGTTGTATGGTAGAGAGCATATACATTTGATTAAATGATATAGCTCCAACTAGAGAAAAATGTGTACTCATAACACATGGATCATGATTGCACAATATAGGGAACTTCTTTTTTGGAACTTTGTCTTCTGTCAAAACTGTGAGATCCCATATCGTTTTTTCAGTAAGTATAGTTGCCTACCTTGCACTTTTACTTGGAAATCCATCACATCATCCTTTGCATCGCAGACATATTGCCCAGTATCCTCAAGTACGAGTGAGTGAATGGTTAATTGACGAATGACTCCATCCTCAAGGATGGTGATATTTCTGGAGTCTTCGACTTCTTCCCCATTCCTCTTCCAGCTGACCTCTGCATTTGATCTGGAAACTTCACAGTCTAGAACAAGAGTCTCCCCAGCCACCATCTCCACTCTACTTGCCATCTTCCTTGGACGTACAAAGCGGACAGGAGGCTCTGCATAAGAAAACGTTTTGTTAAAATCCCTTCAACATAGAAAAAAGATGACCCTTTTTTATTCTTAAGCTTTCTTCACCTGCTATGTTGACAAAGAAAGTCATGGAGTCATCTGCTGTATCACAGACGTATTCGGCTGAATCTTTGACTGTAGTTTCAGGTATTATAAGTCTTCTGTAGACACCATCCACCTCGAGAATGAGGTTGTCGTTCTCCTCCACTTCAAGTCCGTCTCGGTACCAGCGCACCACTGCATTAGGCCGGGAGATCTCACAGCTCAGTACCATCCTCTCAGAGGTCTGCTGGCACAGCTCCATTTGGGACTGACTTGGGGACACAATGCGCACTGGAGGTTCTGCACAGAGATATTGTCATCAAGATAAGACCCAAAAAGCACTGGCAAAAATGCAATATCAGTACCAGTCTGATTAATTTATTTTTCAATCCTTCTTGCATACTGTATGAGTATGGATAAAATGATGGTCGTAAAAGTGGTCAACTCTTCATAGGACTCAAGTTGCAAGTGTCCCTGTCAACAATAACTTGCATAGAGAAGAAAGATCCCAGTTATTACTATGTTCTGAGATTGACAACTATTGGAATCAAGACAAATGCTTTTTAGGAGAAAGTCTGTGATACTGAGTGGGGATTTCCTACAATTTCCCCTTCAACCAACATTCAAAATTGGCTATAAACACTTAACACAATTTTTTTCTTTAAGCATACTGATACCTTCAATAAGAACATCTACTCATTGTCCTTTTTTGTATGATTCTCAAATGTTTTCACAAACACTTTACTTTACCTGTAATAGTTAGATGAAAGAATATTGAATCGTCGGCTGTATCACAGACATATTCCCCAGAATCCTCAACTCCACTTGAAATAATCTTCAGACGTCGATAAGGGCCTTCAACCTTGAGTTTTATGTTCTCACTCTCTTGCAGCTTTTGACCATCTTTGTACCAGCTGACGGCACCGTTTTGACGAGACAATTCACAGCTTAGAATAATTTCCTCAGGGACATGACGATCAAGATGGACATCCTCCTTAGGATAAGTGATCATGACTGGAGGCTCTATGAATGAAGAACAAATGACATTGGACTATTATTTCTATTTAAACTTAGGTCAATTAAAACATTTGGTCATTTGTATTTTCATTAATCATAGCTGTTATCTTACCTCGTACATTCACCTTGAACAGCAAAACATTGTCGCCTGCACGACAAGAGTAGGTGCCTGTATCAGACAATTGGGCTTGATGGATTGTGAGATTCCATTGGGTGCCTTCTGCTTTGATAGTGATTTTATTGCTTTGTTGCATCTCAATTCCGTCTTTGTACCACTGGACAACACCATCAGCCCTAGATACTTCACAAGACAGAACAAGCTCTTCTTGTTCCACAACACTCTTGAAGAGGTCCTCCTCTGGGATTTCAGAAAATGTCACCGGTGGTGCTGCAGAAAAGATATCACAAAGACAGTAAGTTTTTGCTTGAAAGTATCTCTTATTGTTTTTGCTCGTAGTACATGCAGCAGCTCAGCTGTAAGGCCAGGTGTTTCAGAGCTTAGAAAAGCCTTGCTATCTACGTTTTTCATAGATGTTATGATGGGTATTTAAGTGGGTGTTAATCCTTTTTAGAGCAAAGAAAAAATTGAAGTAGTGCACTGAAGCAATGCAGTAGCTGTTGGTCTGTTGGGGAAAAAACAGACTCATCAGAATTCATGCTAATTCTTCCTCACTGGCCATGACTGTTCAGAATGCATATGGAACGACTAAACAATTATTAGAATTTGGTTAATTAAAGGGAAATGAGCTATAAAGATATGATGATGATCAGGTTTCTATGGGTCTGAAAAGGGAACTACAATGATTACATCTTTCTAAGAAAAAGCATATCACCTTTCACCTCCACATGGAAATCGTTGATTTCTGATTCATCATCAGTTTTACAACTGTACACGCCAGAGCATGAAGACATGGTCGATTCCTCAACTTTTGTCGTCTTAATTCCTTCAGAAATAATGTTTATTTCTGATTTTGGCAATGGTTTAACCCCATCCTCACACAAGCAGGTCTGGCCTCTTGGGTCTGAGATCTCACACTGAGGTTTGATCAAACTGCCTGCTTCCACAGATGTGCTCCTTTCAGCCTCTGGAACAGCTGAGAATCAAACCGGTGCTATAGGAATTTCAATTCATTGAATGCTCTGTTATGTAACATACTTGGATTTATAGGTGACAGGACTCAAAATTTTGATTTCAGATTTGACAAACTGTTGTCAATATTGTTTGGCTTAACCACAAAACAAATATTTTGTGTTGAGATAGGTTTGCACATGAATTGCCATGCAATCAGTGATCCAGTGTAATGACCAATGAGTCAAATTACATTTCTATTTCATATTGACAATATTGTGCTTTGGAACAGTTTAAATGGCTAAAACCAGATTGACTTGCTGCACTGTCTTCATCTGACTGTCTTTTGATATATTATTTTGCATTTGTTAATCCAGGAAATAGAGCATTAATTCCCTTCCAGGGCAGGAGGTTTGCAGCATCTTGCAAATGGTACTTGATAAGTTTTGATTACAGTACCAAGCACATTCTGCGTGCAGGATGCTGTGCTCAGCATCTTGCAGGCAGTGGCATCCTGGGACATGTTCAGAAATAGAGAAAAATTGGACCACTACATGTATCACAGGACTGAGTTGTTCAACAGCATTTTTTTGTGAACATGTTAGCAAACAAATGCACATTTATACACGCGACTGAAGCAGAAAGCACAGTTTTAGTATTGCTTTGGAGTTGTGGTCTCCAACATTCTTCATAAGACATCTGGCTGTATGGATGCTTAAGGCTCCAATGTGCTAGTATTATATTTTGCTTATCGCTAACTTTGCCTGTGCTGGAGACTAGTCTATTTACCAGAGCTTTGCTTGGCTAAAGCAGGTTGCCTACTGCAGGTTGCTGGATGTAATGATATTCAAAGGTTGCTGAAAATATAACTGGCATTACTTTAGTACCGGTAGCTATCAGTTTTGAATCTGATGTCATCCTTTATGAACTTATCTATGATCCATTTATTGTAAGCCCTCACAAATTATATATTTTTAAAAGTATGTCCAGCTGTATAATTCAAAATACATGATTGAGCTTAAGTACACAATGGTTTAGAATTCTATTCAATGTTGCTGTGGTAGCCAAGACTTAAGAAAACTTTAGCTAATATGACAAAGCTCAAAGTATGTAGATCACCTGCAACATCCACCTTGAATTCAATACGGTCATCTGCAGCCTCACAGCTGTACGCCCCAGAGTGTCTGACTTCTGCTGATTGAATAATCAGCGCTCTCAGTTTGTCTTTGGTTTGGGTTTCATATTCACTTTCTGGAGGTAGCTGTTCTCCATCCTTGTGCCAATAGACTTGGGCAGTTGGCTCTGAGACTTCACATTGCAGCTTAACTGGGCAGCCTGCTTCAAAAAATTTCTTTCTTGCAATCTCTGGAAGTGTGGAAAACTTCACAGGAGTAGCTGTGGGTATTACAAGATTTTCAGAGTACTGCTGTTAAGCTGTCAGAATATCATGACAAGTAGTGCTGTGCACATTATGTTTTTGTTGTGGTTATTTTAACACGTTAACTGTAAGTATTTGGGGATTTTATACAATATTACACATGTATCTAAACTGATATTTGGGTAAATAAGTGTACAGATAAGGGTGATAAAGAGGATCCTTAAATGTTCATCTGAAACCTGTAAACACAATAATATGCTCAAGACAAGCAAATCACCTTCAACGTCCACATGGAATGTCACAACATCATCAGCGAGGCTACAGCTGTAGAGGCCAGCATCAGAGACCTTAGCAGAATGAATCATTAACTTTCTCACGCTGCCGCCTCGTTTCATATCAAGGCCAGTTTTGCAAAAAAGCTCCACCTCATCTTTAAACCAGGAAACCTGGGAAGCAGGGTCTGAGACCTCACACTGTAGGATAATTGGACAACCAACTGTAATCAACTTGTTTTTTTCTGACAGTGAGACTGGCATGATCTTTGGCGATCGGCCTAAGAGAGAGGAACAACAGGGGTTTTGGATAAGAGACGAATTCACTCAGTGGACAAAACTTGTTCAGTCATAACATGCTCTCATGGACATTCAAAACAAATCACTCACTATAGACTAAGACAGTCGTGGTATGTTTAGGAGATTAAAGAAGATAGAATATCACCTTTTACATCCACTTTAAATGTGATGGTGTCATCTGATGTGGAACATTCATAGGTGCCACCATGCATGTGTTCAGCAGAATTGATGAGTAGTGTCCTTGTTAGACCGTCTGACTGTGTTTCCATATTGTGTTGTGGCAGGAGCTTCATTCCATCCTTGTACCATTGGACATGAGCAGAAGGGTCATGAGACAGTTCACAGCTGAGGACAATGGGACAGCCTTCTTCCACAGACTTGTTCCTGTGCCTCTCCTGAAGCTCCGAGAACTTCACAGGTAGTGCTATAGGTTTCAGATATTGCAAAAAGAGTGTCTTAATAAACCGCATACATTTCTTGAACTACTTAAAAATCTTGTATATTCAGTCGAGAAGATATTTGAGACACAGCATCACAAAACACAAAAACAAGGACCTTCACAATGACCAAACATCTGACAAAAAAGTGTTGAAGAGCAAGAATCAAGAGTTATCCAAAGTTATTGTCCACCATCTAAGAAGCGTTGAATGAGCACAGGTAGTGGTTGTTTATGGCAGAGAATAGCTGTGTTCGGTTAGTGTCCTATATTAATGGATCTCAACTGGTCCAGCCTAAGGACCCACCAGCAAACTCCTTAATGAGAAATCGTGACCCAAATTTCTCATATTTTTCAACCAATCAGATTTACTTCATGAATAGCATTGCAGGTTGGACCTCAGACAGAACAAAACATGACAGAACAAAGAGACACAACAAAACAAACCTGTTATAAAAGTGCTTCAAAGACTTTGTGACTTTTTTTTCCCCCAGGCACTCATCGGCAACCCACTGAAAACAGCTCCGCAACCCACTTTGGGTCCTGAGCCACCAGTTGAGAACCACATCCCTATATGACACACATTAATTCCTTTTTTTAAGATGTGAGTCATGCATAATAAGAGGCTGCATAGTGAAGCTGCATGTTTAACACAATATTAGAAAGATTTCCACACATTTTCACAGGTAAGAAGTTTTAAATGTTTATGACCTTGGATCTAAAATGAACACAATTATTATGTTGGTGTGAATTTGTTGCTTACGTTTTTGGATTAGTCAACCAAATTGGCTACGCAGATTTATTTCTGTTTAGTTATTTTACAAAGATCACCCACTGTTATCGTTAGTTGGCAGTGCAAAGCAGTGAAAGCTCTACAGAGTTTCAAAGAATCACCTTTTACTTCAACAGCAAACTGGATGTCATCATCCTTAGACTCACAACGATATATGCCAGTGTGAGCCCTCTCTGCTGATGGGACAACTAGACTCCTCACACTTCCCTCTGACTGGATGTCTACTCCACTCTGAAGTAGGAGCTGTGTTCCATCCTTGTACCAACTGACTTGTCCAGTGGGGTCTGACAGCTCACACTGCAGAGCAATGGGACAGCCCGCCATGACTGTCTGTTTCTGGTCAGCCTCCATTAAAGCTGAAAACTTCAGAAGTGGTGCTACAAGATTAAATGTGAAACAGAATTTGTCAATAAAACATACCGAACGAAGCAAATAAAAGCTGAAACTAAAGCTCTTAAAAACTACTAAAATATTGCATTTTTTTTTTTTATTCTAACCTGAAATTGCAAACTTCTCAGGACCTAAATTAAAAATTGTACAAAATGAATTTAGTGTCACAAGTGTCTTACAATTGAAATATAATAAGATATATCAATAAAGCTATAGGTTAGATGAATAAAAGCCTAAAGTAACTAAAAAACTAAAGCGTGTTTGCAGGCAATCATTTAATAAGTAGGACTAGAGTCCTATCATTGGTCAAACAACTTTGTTTTCAGCCTAAACCAAAGAATATATTTTTCCCAAAGATCTCTCTGAAAAAGCTATGATGGCTTTCCTGGAATTCTTTCAATATTCTGTGGAAAAAAGTGCCTAATCATAGCAATGGAAATACCCAGAAGGACAATATGGCCTTAAGTGAAAAAACTCAGAATGTTACTTTACATATCAAATACCACAAAAGTCAGTGTATAAGACACACTTTTAATGCCTTCCTTTGATCTAAAAATGAGCTGCATCCTATAAACCAATGTGACCAACATACCACTGTCAAATGCTGAGAGAAGAACTTTTATGACGCCATAATCTATCTAATTATTATTATCTCTCTATTATTTATCATATTGTGTATTGCAAATTGCAGCTTGGCTGCGCATTACATGCTGGGATACATAGTGATGTGGCCAGGCTGCCGGTGTAACT